CTGCATGCAATCCAACGTACGAGCCACAGCCCGGCTGGTTAGGTACCGACTTCAGGTGCTTGTCCAGTGCCTGCTTGAAGACAGCCAGGGGTCTATTGGTAATCCAATAGACAATACATATACATTCTATAAAAGCAAGCTTCAAATGACCGTGGTCATAACAGTCAAGCTATATGGCTTTAATAAGTCTTGTAGAGAAGACGTACAATTTTGATTATTAACCAGAGCTGCAAATGTTCCACTTAACATATCACTAAATGGATCACCCATTACAAGACTCACAGAGGGTAAATTTATAGTAATCCACCTAGACAGTAGCCTCAAATTCCAGATACATATACAACAAATTTCCAAGAAAATCTCAAAGACAGTAGGCATACTATCAAAGATACGGTACTATAATCAGCTCTCCTGGCACTGTATCATTCACTCGTCTACCCTTATCTCACATACTGAATTTGTGCATGGGGATCAACAACATCAAATCACCTAAGGCCACTAATAACCCAGCAAAAGGCAGCAGTCAGAATGATAACAAATTCCCACTCGCGACAGCATACTCCACCTCTATTCAAAAGTCTAAATTTGCTCACCATAAAGAACATCCACACTTATTCATGTGCCTACTACATACATAGAACAATACATGCAAACATAAACCCTCAACTCAAACTTCTCCTCACCAACCTTAACATGACACTCGACCCTAACACAAGACACAGATCTCTATTTGATGTACCCAGTGTCCATATCACACTGTGTAAAAACTCTATACACATAAAGATCCACAAAATCTGGAATTCATTACCAGAACATACTAAAGTAACCAGGCCTGAAAATCAATTTAAGACTCTTCTAAAAAACCACTTACTCGCCCAGGACTAAATAATCAACACTCACTATTTAACATTACCAATAATTCTCCCAATTACTTAAATCTTAAAACTTCAAGACAACAAATAGTAAATTGATCATCTTGTTTGTTCTACATTGTAATGCGACAAATTTGTACAACTATAATGATTCAATACCGAAATGTTCAAATTTCATTGTTTCAAATACTCAGTTGTACTTCATATTGTAAATTGTTTACAGTAATTTTTACTACTGAACCTTTCATTGCTTGTTAATTTTAAGTTAATTTTAATCCTGCTCATAATGCTCTGCATACAAGGGGCTTTTGGCATGTACATCCAACTGCTATAATTCATTGTACAACTATGTATCATGTCCAAATAAACTATATGAATATGAACCTTAGGCGGATACAATGTATTCATTAACATATGAGATGAATACAGATATTGAGAAGAAGTAGTATATGTTGATTATATTGATGAGAAACTTTTACCTATGTTCATTATATTGAGTAAATGCATGTATAGTTGTTACATGTGTATTTATGATGGGGTGGGATAAGTTAAGGAGATAAGGTGTATTTTAACTGTAGTTATAATAATGCTAGCTGAACCAGTGGTTCTGGAGATTTCTGGCAGTGTTTTCTAGATTTTGGGCCCATTTACGTACAATGAGTTTTTGAAAAGACTTAGCCTTACAAGGGAATATCATAGAGGTTTTTGTGCCTAGTGTCATGTCTATGAGTCCTATTGCAACTATCAAAAAAGCGTTTCAGGTCGGGATTTATATTAGAATTGATTGTTCTGTAAATGTAGGTTGCACAATAGTACGAGTGAATGTTTTGTATAGTGAGTAGGTTTAGGTTTTTGAAGAGGGGGGGGGGATGTTGTCTAGCAGTGGATTGTGTGATCATTATTAGCACTGTGGATTTTTTGTGTATTATTGTTGATTTTGGGTGGTTTTTCGTTGTGGAATCCCATGCACAAATAGCAAAGGTGAGGTTAAGGCTGTATAACCCTTGTGGTTTGGCGCTTCTTTTTGATTATAATAATAATAATAGTACAGCTTAAGTAGGGCTGTTAGTGGTACATAGTAACGTATCTTTGAGAGGATGCCAACTGTTTTAGAGATTTTTTTTGTGTTGTATATGGATGTTGAATTTCAGGTTGCTATCAAGGTGCAGACCCAGGAATTTTCCCTCATTATGTTTAGCAATAAGTGTGTTGTTAAGAATAATGTTAAACAAAAAAAGGCACAATACCATGACTGGAATAATACACAAATAACCCGCACATAGAAGAGAGGAGCTCACAAAGACGTTTCGGTCCGACTTGGACCATTTACAAAGTCACATTTTGAAAATGGTCCAAGTCGGACCGAAACGTCGTCATAAGTTCCTCTCTTCTAAGTGCGGGTTATTTGTGTAAGCATAATGTTTAGTTGGTCCTCACTTGCTTTACTCCCAAACATAATGTAAAAGGTTTTGTCTATATTAAGTGTAAGTTTATTGACGGTCAACAAGGTTGCTATTTTTGAGAGTTCTTCCTTAACAATAGCGTTGAGTGAGGCTAAATTTGGGTGGGAGATGATTAGATTTTGCCACCGAAGTGGCCAGTTTATTGTGCATCCCATATCCATCCTGTGGACGGTGGAGGAAGATACACAAAGCCTAGGAACTAGGACCCAAAAGGGTTAACAGATGTACCTATGGGTTTATATCTACAGTTTACTTATCTGTTACAAGCAAATTTAGGAAATTTGCTTAGTATATCTGGTATCTTATTTTCATTAATAAGATATCTTGACATGTCACATAAGTTATTATACTGTCTGTGTATTCCTCAATAAGTGGACAATTAAGCACATAGTGTTCAAGACAGTGACCATATGCCTGATCACATAATAGGCGTAAGTAGTTGTGAAACACTTGAAAGATCGGTGACGTATAAAAGGAAAAGGAGGGGGCTAGGAACGCTACCCTGTGGTACACCAGTGTCCAGAGGTCTTGTTGAGGAGGTTGCGTCATTGACAGAGACGTATTGCTTTCTGTTAGTAAGGTAGGACTTGATCAATGCAAGCGCATGGCCTATTATATTGTAATGATCAAGCTTGAATAATAGGATGCTGTGATCTACTGTATCAAAAGCTTTATGAAGGTCGATGAAGAGTCCAAGCGGGTATTCATTTTTTTCAGGTGCTGTGTATAATAGATCTAGCAATTTTATTATTACGTCATTTGTGTTTTTGTTTCTCCTGAAACCAAACTGGCATGGCTTAAGGATGCTTTGTAATGTTACGAGGGAGTATAACCTCTTGTGTATGAGTTTATCAAAGATTTTGGAAAGTAAAGGCAAGTTTGATATTAGCCTATAATTGTTTACATCTGTTGGGTCACCACCTTAACATAACACTAATTGGATCACCCATTACAAGACTCACAGAGGGTAAATTTCTAGTAATCCACCTAGACAGTAGCCTCAAATTCCAGACACATATACAACAAATTTCCAAGAAAATCTCAAAGACAGTAGGCATACTATCAAAGATACGGTACTATAATCAGCTCTCCTGGCACTGTATCATTCACTCATCTACCCTTATCTCACTTACGGAATTTGTGCATGGGGATCAACAACATCAAATCACCTAAGGCCACTAATAACCCAGCAAAAGGCAGCAGTCAGAATGATAACAAATTCCCACTCGGGACAGCATACTCCACCTCTATTCAAAAGTCTAAATTTGCTCACCATAAAGAACATCCACACTTACTCATGTGCCTACTACATACATAGAACAATACATGCAAACATAAACCCTCAACTCAAACTTCTCCTCACCAACCTTAACATGACACTCGACCCTAACACAAGACACAGATCTCTATTTGATGTACCCAGTGTCCATATCACACTGTGTAAAAACTCTATACACATAAAGATCCACAAAATCTGGAATTCATTACCAGAACATACTAAAGTAACCAGGCCTGAAAATCAATTTAAGATCCAGCTTGAGTGATGCTGGGAAAGTGTTGGCTTCTTGTGATTTGTTGAAGAATAATGCAATGGTGGGTGTAACGATTTGAGCCGCTCGTTTATACAGTCGTGCTGTTTGGAAACAGGGCTTCAAATGTTGACCTAAACATATCGATTAATGGTTCCCCCATTTCAAGACACACACAGGGCAAATTTCTAGGCCTCTACCTTGACTTCTGTCCTAAATTTCAGGCTCACATACAGCAAATGTCCAAGAGTCTTCAAAACAGTAGGTATCCTCTCTAAGATACGATACTATGTACCCCAAACGGCACTTCTTGCTCTTTACAACTCTCTCATCTACCTTTACCTTACCTATGGTAATTATGCATGGGGTTCAACCACAGCAAATCACCTTAAACATTTAATAACCCAACAAAAAGCTGCTGTGCGATTGATTACCAACTCCTGCACCAGGCAACACACACTACCGCTTTTTAAACTTCTCCGTGATAGCTACAACAGAACGTACAGTCACAATACAAGGCACAAAGCACTCTTCGACATCCCTCGTGTCAGTCTCACACTATGCAAAAATGCAATGTACATACAGGGTCCGAAGATCTGGAATTCACTACCTGCACCGGTAAAAGATCCCCCTGATTGCATACATGATACAACTTTAGGGTTATGCTTAAAAATCATCTCATCTTTAAACAACACAACTAATCAGTATGAAGCAACTCTTCCAAATATTATATGGCCTCTAGTCTATTAAAACATCTGCTAATCCATAAAATAGTACTGTTCGAACCATTATTTATAATATTATTATATGTTTTGTGCAACTTCAAGAATATTATTCATATAAACCTCCACCTAAGACTACCTCGATTTAGTATTAAGATAAAATAAAGATTTATTAAAAGGGTAACCCATTTATCTTGTCTAGACTTAAGTAGTTTTTAAGTTTTAGGATTAGTCTGCCTGAAATGCCCCGGCATGATAGTGGCTTTCTTTGTATTTAGCAAATCAAAATTGTAATTACACATTGTAACCTTTCCAAAGAAATAAAATCTTTATCTTTATCTTTTATCTTTTTATAAGGTTTCTTATCTTCTCAACTACATGTAGGTTGTGTGAAGTGTTCCAGTTACGGTATTGCTGTCAGTGACTCTATAAATCCCTAACAAAAACAACAACAACAACAAAAATAAACGTGTAGTGGGTGTCATGGCTCAAGACGGCAAGAAAAGTGGAGTTTGCTTGAATCATGTGTTTTTGAGTACGCAGGTTACTGCTTTACAAGTCAAGAGTAACTATGTGTTCATCGGTAGGTGCAGAAAGAAGTTAATTTGTCTCGTGTCTCTCACCCGAGATAAGATTTTTGCCACAAGTGGCTAGTTCATTGTGCACGCCATATACATCCTGTGGACGGTAATGCAAGAGCATATGGATACACAAAAGGCCTATGAACTAGACCCCAATGGATTAATATCTGCAGTCAATTATCTGTTACAAGCAAATTTAGGAAATTTTCTTTGTATATCTGGTATCTTATTTTCATTAATAAGATATCTTGACATGTCACATAGATTATTATACTGTCTATCTCTGTATTCCTCAATAAGTGGACAATTAAGCACATAGTGTTCAAGAAAGTGACCATATGCCTGATCACATAATTTACATTTAGTTTGATCATCATCTGTGTGTCTCCCAAACTGCCAGAAGTACTTGTAACCAGCCTAAGCCTGGCCACTACAACATCAGTCAGTCTGTTCACATTGCAAGTTGCTCCATAAACATACTTATCTACGTTCATGTTATCATAGTGGGTTATAGATCTACTCAGGCTTCTAACTGCATTCCTATAACAATCATTTTCGTTATTTGCTTCTCTACAAATAATATTCCTAATGCTAGACACAGATATACCAAAGTTATATTCTACATTCTCCTGGGTACTCTTAAGATAAGATAAGATAAGATAAGATTTCGTTCGGATTTTTAACCCCGGAGGGTTAGCCACCCAGGATAACCCAAGAAAGTCAGTGCGTCATCGAGGACTGTCTAACTTATTTCCATTGGGGTCCTTAATCTTGTCCCCCAGGATGCGACCCACACCAGTCGACTAACACCCAGGTACCTATTTGCTGCTAGGTGAACAGGACAATAGGTGTAAGGAAACGTGTCGGAATTTCCACCCGCTGGGAATCGAACCCGGGCCCTCCGTGTGTGAAGCGGGAGCTTTAGCCACCAGACCACCGGGCTAACATATCAACTTTATCATGAAGGAATAATCCAATGTGTGATGGGATCCATAGCAATTGTACATTAATTCCTTTGTCCCAGATTTTTAAGTATCTATACCTGGCTTCTCCAGTGAGCATGTTGTTGGAGTCATTATATGAGTCAAGAGCCTTCAATGATGACATAGAATCAATAATGATGATAGAGTCAAGCTCAGTTAGTAGTAGTAGTTAGTAGTAGTCAACAGAGTAAAGTCTGAGGTGGCTACGGTGAAAAGCTCTTTTCCACGAGGCACAGTACTCACTCCCATCTTGTTCCTCATCCTCATATCAGACATAGACAGGAATATAAGCCATAGCGCAGAGTCTTCCTTTGCAGATGACACCTGAATTTGCATGAGTGTCCTCCATTGAAGACACTGCAAGACTCCAGGTGGACATCAGCCAAATCTTTAAATGGGCTGCAGAAAACAATATGAAGTTCAATGATGAAAAATTCCAATTACGTACTCCGATATGGAAAACATGAGGAAATTAAAATTTCATCAGAGTATAAAACAAATTCCAACCATGCAATAGAGCAAGAAACTAATGTCAAAGACCAGGGGGTGATCATGTCAGAGGATCTCACCTTCGAGGACCATAACATTGTATTAATCACATCTGCTAGAAAAATGACAGGATGAATAATGAGAATCTTCAAAACCAGGGATGACAAGCCCATAATGACACTCTTCAGGTCGCTTGTTCTTTCTAGGCTGGAATATTGCTGCACACTAGCAGCACCTTTCAAGGCAGGTAAAATTGCTGACCTAGAAAATGTACAGAGAACCTTCACGACATGCATAACTGTGATAAACCACCTCATTTATTGGAAATGCTTGAAGTTCCTAAACCTGTACTCCCTAGAATGCAGGAGGAAGAGATACATGATTATATACACCTGGAAAATCTTAGAGGGACTAGTACCAAACTTGCACATGAAAATCACTCCCTATGAAAGCAAAAGACTCAGCAGACGATGCAACATCCCCCCCAATGAAAAGCAGGGGTGCCACTAGCATGATAAGAGACAACACAATAAGTGTCATGGGCCCAAGGCTGTTCAACTGCCTCTCAGCATACATCAGGGGGATTACCAATGGACCCCTGGCTGTCTTCAAGTAGGCACTGGACAGGCACCTGAAGTCAGTACCTGACGAGCCGGGTTGTAGTTCGTATGTTGTATTACGTGCGGCCAGCAGTAACAACCTGGTTGATAAGGCCCTGATCCACCATGAGGCCTGGTCACAGACCTGGCCGTGGGAGTGTTGACCCCTGGAACTCTAGGTATACTCCAGGTATTAGGATTGCAAGCAATTCAGTTTGCAGTGTAGATGCCCAGTTGTTAATTGTGTACGAATGGTATATAATACCGACAAGATGAGAGTAAGACACATGTGCAACATCTGGGTATCTTTATTGTAGACGTTTTGCCATCCAGTGGCTTTATCAATACAAATTCCAGGACATAACTTGAAGACAGTAGAACTATGTACAGAAGATGAGGTAATCAGTCCCTCAACCTAGGAGTAGGTGCGAACAGCACCATAGTCGTGGAGATTCTGAAGCAGAAGAAAGAATCCTGGCGCTTATATAGTAACGTCAGGTGAAGCAGACGAGGGCAAATTCACTGGTAGGCGGGATTCCCCAGTGGAAGTAGGTCCTTCCCAAAGAGATGGGTTAGTTGTAGTAGTAGTTGTCGTAGCCGTGAAGGTTATGTACATGTCCATTCGTACACAACTTGTCAGACACTGCAACATCATGGAATCTTAATTCTGAGGACATGTACATAACCTTCACGACTACGACAACTACTACTACAACTAACTCATCTCTTTGGGAAGGACCTACTTCCACTGGGGAATCCCGCCTACCAGTGAATTTGCCCTCGTCTGCTTCACCTGACGTTACTATATAAGCGCCAGGATTCTTTCTTCTGCTTCAGAATCTCCACGACTATGGTGCTGTTCGCACCTACTCCTAGGTTGAGGGACTGATTACCTCATCTTCTGTACATAGTTCTACTGTCTTCAAGTTATGTCCTGGAATTTGTATTGATAAAGCCACTGGATGGCGAAACGTCTACAATAAAGATACCCAGATGTTGCACATGTGTCTTACTCTCATCTTGTTGGTATTATATACCATTCGTACACAACTTGTCAGACACTGCAACATCATGGAATCTTAATTCTGAGGACATGTACATAACCTTCACGACTACGACAACTACTACTACAACTAACCCATCTCTTTGGGAAGGACCTACTTCCACTGGGGAATCCCGCCTACCAGTGAATTTGCCCTCGTCTGCTTCACCTGACGTTACTATATAAGCGCCAGGATTCTTTCTTCTGCTTCAGAATCTCCACGACTATGGTGCTTTTCGCACCTACTCCTAGGTTGAGGGACTGATTACCTCATCTTCTGTACATAGTTCTACTGTCTTCAAGTTATGTCCTGGAATTTGTATTGATAAAGCCACTGGATGGCGAAACATCTACAATAAAGATACCCAGATGTTGCACATGTGTCTTACTCTCATCTTGTCGGTATTATATACCATTCGTACACAACTTGTCAGACACTGCAACATCATGGAATCTTAATTCTGAGGACATGTACATAACCTTCACGACTACGACAACTACTACTACAACTAACCCATCTCTTTGGGAAGGACCTACTTCCACTGGGGAATCCCGCCTACCAGTGAATTTGCCCTCGTCTGCTTCACCTGACGTTACTATATAAGCGCCAGGATTCTTTCTTCTGCTTCAGAATCTCCACGACTATGGTGCTGTTCGCACCTACTCCTAGGTTGAGGGACTGATTACCTCATCTTCTGTACATAGTTCTACTGTCTTCAAGTTATGTCCTGGAATTTGTATTGATAAAGCCACTGGATGGCGAAACGTCTACAATAAAGATACCCAGATGTTGCACATGTGTCTTACTCTCAGTTGTTAATTCTTATGCCTGGTTCAACAAATTTATTATCGTTCTTAACTAGGGAGGTGGGAACAAGAGCAGATGCAACCCTGACAGAAGACTACTGTCTAGATCCATCAGTGTATATAACTTGTGATAACTTACTGCTACCAGCTAGGTGAGAAATTTCTTCTTGAGCAGTTGCTTTAACAAGTGATTTAAGGAAGGGATTACTAGCAATGAGCTTGGGAGGGGCTTGCAGGTATGTGATATTAAATGAACACATCTTCCATGGAAGGGTGAAATGCTCTTGTTGTCTACAATGATGCAGTTCATGTAGGTTATAAAACTTAATATAATTGCATGTTTTCACAATCCATTTAGATCTGTGTGTTTTTCTTCTAGACAGTGTCTGGTTCAATTCTTAACATTCTAATACCAAGTACAGTGTTTATCTCAATAATCCTATCACTGATACTAGATATACCAAGCTCCTTCCCATATTAAAAACCCTTTGTAGATTTGGGGGACACCCAAAGAAAATTTCGAAGCTTCATTTTGCTTTAACTCCAAGGGTCAAAGAATTTTCTTAGCCAATATAAACTGGGGCAGCATAATCAATAAGGCCCCTAACATAGGCATTCACACATTCTCACGATTTCACAAAAGCACCATAGTTGGGTTGTAGCCAAAACAGCTTTGAGAGCTTTTAGCCTACTTTGCACTTATTTAGTTGTGGTATAGTGGATTTTTTTAAAAGGGTACACTACCCAAAGATATCTGAAAGTTTTAATTAGCTAATGTTTTCCCCCTGCAAGTAGAAGGGGGGGAGTCTTTTGCTTTTAATACTTTGTATTAGAAAAAGATATTATGGGGCCTAGTCGTTTAAACAAATTGCTTAAACTTCATTAAGAAGGGTGCTCACTTCTTATGCCCTGTTTAGGGATTATGAGTCATCTGCATAGCTTTAGCTTTGTTTAGATGGGCAGGTAAGCTTTTATAAAGATTAATAAACTTAAATAGCAGGGAAAAGCTGTGTGCCTGGGGGACATTTCTTTAGCTCCTTCTAAACCCTTTTGGTGAGGACAGGGATACTCTATTTCAAATA